AGTTTGAAACCCCTCATCCAATCTTTCTCAAACATTGTTGTCATTATCAGCTTTTCTGACCATGAAGCTTTTCCTCAGAATGTTTTTGGCTTGCCTGTGCGTGTTCTTTGCTGCTTGATGATGGAACATCAGAGTCTCCTCACTACCGACAAGGATGCTGGTGTTGCAGTTTTTTCCAGTTCATGGTTTGAGCCTTGATGATGTTTTTCTTCCAATATATCCCGTTCAATAACTTGAACGAATATATTGAGTGCCAAGAATAAAAACAGATGTAGCAGATTGGGATGTTATAAATGGTTAAAGGGGGGGGGGGGGGGGGGGGATTTTTAACCAATTGAGGACCTGTAGAGGATTATTTCACTTGTTTTTTTTCATTTTAAAAGAAATATATGACATGTCAACAATCCAATGACTTGAAATTTCAGCATTTAAAAGCTCTGCAGGAGCTCTTTAATAAGGCAAAGTATGCAGAGGTTACAAACCAGCAGGAAAGGCCTCTTACCTGTGACTCGACCTGATCTGTAGTCTTTGTACATTCTACAGATGCAGCGTTGTGCACGGTGATCTCAGCTTTTCTGGTCTTGTAACAAATCTGTTTTGGAAAATAAAACCAAGCAGAACAAATTCCTGATTAGTCCGTGTTTTCTCTGTTCGCAAAACATAACAGCAGAGTCTCCTATACCACAACTCCACAACACCACTTATTCATTCGGCACTAGTTCAAGGACACTGAGTGAGCTGAGCTTTGAGAAGGGACCAGAATAAAGGAAAGCTTTGTCTTGAACAGAGCGAGAAGACAAACAGAGCAGACTGTAATCCATTCCCTCCTCTAAAAGACACGACCTCCCTGCTTTGCGGAGCAGAAGCTCACTGGAGCCAAAGAGGGCTCTGAGGCCGGGGTTGGTCCCATTGACTGCACTATTAACACTCAGACTGGGAGGATCAGCGAAGGAATACAAAACACTGCCAGATGAGTGCACAGAAAATTTTGTAATGCATTTCACTCCACCAAGAGACACCCTCCGGGAGCACTGATGACCACAGTAATTGGGTTTCTCCAGCTATGATAATCTGCATCAGTCATGCCTTGCCAACACACTCTAAGACCACTGAGAAGGTCACAGTGGTCCCCAAACCTCAATCCACACAGCTGACTGCAGCTTCGGATTTCTGAGAGGAAGACATTACTGATCAGTCTCATGAATTTTACTTTCTATTCAAGTCCCTGAATGGTTCGACTTTTTCATTGACTTTTTAATATATTTGCTTGTGACTGAGTTGATTTTGGATTGTGATATATTTTAATAAACACGACTAAAGGCCAGGATGAGAATATGAGACCAAGCAGTGGATAATGTAGGCACCGTGTGGGGCTTCTAGAGATGTTTTATTTAAAGAAATCATTGATAATAGCATAGTTATGCCATAATTGCTATAAGAGAGAGAAGAAAAGCAGAGGTCATAAAATGGGTAATAACAACTGTAGAGGTTGAAGTTGTTTGAGTTGCCATTATGCCCTTGTTTTGGTAGATAATTACTTATGTTTGCATAAAGCTTGCACCAGCGATAATCAGGGTTTCGTATCTCTGCCACTATTTTATCTGAGCTGGTAGATGAAAATAATAAAAATGAATATATATATATAGGAAACAGGAATTTACAGGCAACAAATTCTTCTGTTTTGAGGTCAGACAAAAAATAAAATAGTTTTGCCACAATAGTGTAGATTTATTTGATTAAAAGAAAGGAAAAGAAGCATTCCAACCCAAGAACACCGCCCCCTCAGTCAGGCATGGTGGTGGGATCATCATGTTTTGATGATGAAAGTAAATGGCAAGATACTCAACAACAACATCAGGCTGTCTGCAGGGAAAACAATGGGCAATGAATGCTTCAATGTGAAAATGACACAAAACACACAGCTTGAGAGGTCAAGACATGGTGAGCCGACAAAAAAAAAACGTTCTGGAGCAGCCCAGCCATTGAAGTCCCAACTTCAGTCTGATAAAAAATCTTTGGGGGAAGCAGAAGATTTATTCTCCATCTTCAACACAGTACTTTTTACAAGCTTTATTACATATTAATATATTGTATATTGCAGCATGCTTAAATAAATAATTAAATGCAAAAAAGGAGCAAAAACGAAGAACGCAGAAACCAAATTTTAGCAATCTGCCAGATCAGACCAATTAGACTTGGTTTCTTGTCTATAAAGCCTCCAGTAAGGAAAATACAAATAAGAGGACAGGAATAGCTGCCAACACTGCCTTAAGCTCCGTCTGTGTGGACATGGATGTAGACATATAGCTGGTCTAATAAAAAGCAACCAAAAAATTGCTGAACAGGAGCAAATCTTTCTAAACAGTGGCAACAATCAGAAGGCATCAAGGCCAACAATGAAAGGCTCACTTTCCTTTCTGTGAAGACTGAAAATCAGGCTGCTGTGAGACCTTCAGGATGAAATTAGAATAAAATTAGTGAAGAATAAGGACAGCTATTTTATTTGGTAAAATAGTTTTTTTTCTTAATGGGAGGAGTGCAAAGAAAAGCTGATTTGAAAGTCTTGTGCGCACTAAAAACAAATGGCATTAATCATTCTTTCCCACTATCATGTTTATTACCAGCATCACTCACTTGAAAAATACTTTTCTGTAGTTCAAAAGAAGTTTGAGTTGCAAACTTGAGCAAATGTGCACACTAATGATTATGAATGAAGCAGCTGGGAAATTTCACAAAGACCTGCGTTATCAGTCCAACAATGTAAATCAGATACTTCTTAAAAACGAAAAAGCAAAGCAGAGAAAACCAACTAGCTAAGGGGGGCAATTTTCTGTACGAAAGTTTATACACTTAGAGGAAGTAGGAAAATTTCAAAGAGAAAAATGTGCATTTTATTTGTAGCAGAAATCCAAAATAAGATGCAAGAAGGAAAACTGATGAATCTGGTGAAATTTCTTATCTCATCTGGAATGGCTGCTTATGTTAGAACGTCTAATCTATTTTCCCTCTTATTTGAGTATATAGGAAAGATACCTCAGACCAGGATTGGAGGATTCCCTCAGTGAAAAAGGATTACCAGCATTAACTGGCCACTGATATGATGGATAGTAAGAGCAACCCTTATAAAAGTCCCAAATGGTTTATTCATCTTTTGTTTCCACAGCAAGAAAACGGCAGCCTGGGAAGAAGGAAACTAAACCGTCCTCTGAAACAATTTGCTGCCTCTGATTTATCGGAATGACATCACAAAGACTAATCAGTATTTCACAAGTAGTTCACCGATATCTTTAATTTCCTGTTGCCATCCCTCAGCCTACAAGCTTTTCCTTTAGATGATGGGCAGGAAAATGTGGAGTTAAGATCCTACTTTCGGAAAATCATATAAATATGTCAAATAACTACATGTGTAAAGAAATCATTTTACCTTAAGGCATTACGCAGGTGTTTTTAATCAGGAGAAACCTACAGACACCCCCCTCAGGAAATCGTCAGATTATCATGGTGGATGGCTTGTGCATCCTCAGGATCTCAGAAGCAATATTTTCTAGGCCCGTTTGTCTTTAGTAGAGTCTTGAGGGGCCAGACTACATATGATTCAATATTTTTTTATACAGGACCAAGGACCTAAGTCATTTCCACAACCTGTGCAACAAAACTCAATAGTACTTTAAAATCCCTATTGGCATTACAGAAGTCAAACCAGCGTTGGCAAGGACCAGCTTGTTGCATATTTCCTCTGGTATTTTAACAATTTATCTTTGGTGATAAGCTCCAAGACTTTGACATTGGAAGCCTGCCTTTACTCCACCCAAACCTTTAGATCCTTCCACAGATTCTCTATCAGATATAACTTGGGACGTTTGTTGGTAAATTTAAATATTTGTTTAAATCTTAGTATGCCAAAGGTATGAATAATGTTGGCCATAACCATATATCTAAGACAGAATTAAAAAAAGAAGTTGGGTCTCAGCAAAAAAAAAAAATTCTTCCACAAGAAGCAGCAAAGCAATATTCCATATGTCAACTCAACCCACAGAACCGGCTCTTGAACTGTTCTCATGGAGCTGGGCTGAATTTTTTCACATATTGATGAAGCCTTTAGTTAGAGACGGGATGTAAGAGAAGGCTAACCTATTGCTCCCTGTCTCATTAACTAGGCGATGGAGGTGTCCCTGGTGGACGCCCTATGGTGAAGGGATAGGGTTCTCAGTGCATGCCTGTCAGGCAGTGGTCAGAGTAAACAGCCCTCCATGAGTACTTAGGTGGATTGATGCAAGATACTTCATCTGAACACTCAAATGTGCAAGTGGGGGAATTTAACACTCATCAAGTCAATCACAGTGGCCATTACAAATGGCCCGTGACTGATCAAGAATGGTGTTAACAACTGGCATTTGTTTTTCATCCATTCATCCATCTTGTACACCTGCCCAATCCTTGCTGGGTAATGGCATAGAAGGTGCATATCTCCACTGGTCAATAAGTGTGTCAACTGATCAGCCATGACCAGTGACCAGTCAGACCAGATCAGTTAAACCAGAAAAGATTCACATCTTTCATATCTTCTTAAATCTTTACTGGTCTAAGAAGTCAATTCTATCACAAATAAGGATTGTATTCTCTGCTATGTACCTGCACATACGACTTTCATTTAGACATACAGGCAGACATATATGTCTTTATGCAAGTGGAATGTGGAGCTTTTCAACATTTTGAGGAGTGTCAGTCAGTCAGTCATTTTCTACCGCTTATTCCATAGTGGGTCGCGGGGAAGCTGGTGCCTATCTCCAGCAGTCTATGGGTGAGAGGCAGGGTACACCCTGGACAGGTCGCCAGTCCATCGCAGGGAAACACACAAACAACCAAGCACACACTCATTCACACACCTAAGGGCAATTTAGAGAGACCAATTAACCTAACAGGCATGTCTTTGGACTGTGGGAGGAAGCCGGAGTACCCGGTGAGAACCCACGCATGCACGGGGAGAACATGCAAACTCCATGCAGAAAGACCCCCGGCCGGGAATTGAACCCAGGACCTTCTTGCTGCAAGGCAACAAGAAGGCAACAGTGCTACCAACAGCGCCACCATGCAGCCCCCTTTTGAGGAGTGTTTTTAATGTAAAATATTAATATAAAAAACAATATGACAGAATGTGATCAATGCTTCTTTTGGCTGATCAGTATCAGGGTCACTGATTAAAGGCAGAACTTCAATCTTTTCCTAATGGCTGCCATAATATAGCTTTAATATGAGCAAAGATTTTTATGTGAGATAGTTTTAATGTCTGCGGTTTGCAGAGTGTTAGTAACAGAGCTTTATTTAAGGCTACAACTTTAGGCCCCTGTAGTTTAAGCACCTGGCTGTGTATGTGTAATAACCATTAAAAAAAATCCTGATTAGAATATTTATTTCTCTGGATGAACAACAAATTGCTGGTGTTGTACGTTTATAAACACCTTTTATTCAAAGGTTTGTAAAACATCAAAGAGATGCTTTACAGAATGAAGTTCCCACCACCATGATGGTACCGCTGACTTCGCTTAGAATTGTAATATTTGGCTGACATTATTGATTGGTCACACCGCATTCTGAATTCACCGCCATGTTGATCAAAAGCATTCAGTGCTTCATGCAAGGAGGATCAGTAAATCTAACGCATCTGAGCACATCAGACAGTTAAATGTATGGGAAACAGACAAGCAGCCTGCCAGTGTAAATCTGCGTGGAAATGCGAGAAATGTTAAAAAAATCTAAAGCACACAAGGTTCTGAGCAGAGCACTTTGCACACTTCAGAAGGATGTAGGCCTACACCGAAAGAAACACCACAAACTCAGATTTTATTCAGTTTAATGTACTTTTAAGTATCAGACTAAGACTCAATAGGGGTAAATTCAAACTTACTTAGATTAAAGAGGTAAAAATCTTGATTGAGACATTCTTTTAGTAAAGCACTTTCATTGCTTATGAAGTCCTGCAGGGTATACAGTTAGGTTGATGTAAAAGCTCTGCATGTTTTACTGTACAGAGGCAATGTTTCATGTCTGTATAGATCTGGACTTCCCTAGTTTATTTCTTGCTATGCTAGATAGGAACTCATTAAACTCAGTCTATTTAAATCATTTACCTTGTAAAAGCGTGCAGTATTCTTAGAAAAATGCAAGCACATATGCTCCCACACAGCTACAGATACATTATCAAGTGATATGTTTGTTAATGAGCCTCTGCTGACATGTTGGAGTGATGACAGTCTGTCAAACCTTCCTACTCACAGGGAAACAACATATTGGAGAGAGGGTGGCACCGCTGTGCATCAATATGTGAGGCTATTATGTAGAAGTAATTAAACCCATTTTTTAAATATATTGCAAAGAAATGAATGACTTGTTTTCAGTCATTCAGTCATCAGAACCTGCCGATTTTCTCTCTAATGTTGGCTGACTAAAACAAAAAAACAATGTGTCCATAAATTGTCTGTGTACCATTTCGAACTTCAGACTACTCACCTGTATCATTGTGTTAAGTTTATATACTCAATAGTAGAGTACATTTTACAACTGACAATGCTAGAAATAAGGATTTAGAAAACTTTAGAGATACAAAACAGCCAGAGGGCAAAGACAGGGCATTAAGAGGGCAGAACGAGTGAGGAAGACAGGTCTCTGCCAAATAATGATCAAAGAGAAATAGATGGTTACAAGTGGGATCCATCCCTACCGTCACTTAGACATTGCTCACACTGAAAACCTTGATGCTGTGCAGGAAAACAATTTTCCACAATGTTAACAGACATAGCCAGAGGAGCAACACAGTCTTGTTTTTTATCATCCAGAGACAAGAAAAATATGTTTTCACACGCAAAGGAGCCAAGATGTGTTTACCTCAGTTACATAAAACCGTCATTCTACAGAAGCATAGTTTCATCAATAAATAACTACATTAATTATAATTATTATATTTCCGCATCTTTATGAGTCTTAACAACCAAGACAAAGGTGGCTGTTTTGGGCTTACTCTGTCAGCTGAAAGTCACTGAAGCAGTTTTCCATATTCTACTATACAGAAATGTGGTTGAGTTACTCCAGTAATATCAACAAGGAAGAGATTATTCAGAATAATTCTGGTTTTACCAGGGATTATAATCAGCCATATTTCATAAGTCTACAGGCAAAATGTTGATCTAATCTGGCTATTTATCGTCATATTTCTTTAAAAATTACGTAGCTACAACATAAACTCTGACTTACAATGGTGTAAATACCTTGGTATGAAATGGTTTTTATACAGCTACAAATATAAGTAAAGATGAATGAATTGGCAATGTGAACTTAAAAAATATGGCTAGGGATTGGTTTGAAGGGGCAACTGACCTATAAACATTAAATATTTGGCCTTTTATTATGTAAAAGAAATTAGGTCTTGGCCTTCATTGCCAGAAAGGACAATTCTTTCTTAAAATCCACAAGTAATGTCCTAAAAAGTGCATTTAATGTAACATAAAACAGGCACCTGCAGAGAGTTACTGTTTCAATTATGAAAACCTTTTCTGGTTGGTAGCAAACGAAACATTGATACAGTGCCACATTCCAGTAGAAAGGCCACAAGGGAAGTAATTCAGGTCCTAACAGCTTTCCCACTGATAGAAAAAGGAATAAAGACCCACTGCTGTGTTATTGCCACTTTTCCCTAATATATCGGATATTTCTTGTCACCTATAATAGTTTGTGAGTGTTAGAAATTGTGGAGAAGGATTACAGCCTTACTGTGTTTCTATTATTTTCTTTGATACGATTTTGTACTGCCTTCAAAACTGAGAGAAGTCGCATTTCTTACCATAAGCAGTAAAGGAGTAGGAAGGATGGCAATAGCAGCTATTCCAGTAAAGCAGGTATGCTAACTTACATCTCAGTTAATGGCTCGTTTACCTTCAGTGGCTATAATAGCCAGTAAGCAAACACAACAGAATCTTACTAAAATCCCCACAGACATTGCAGTAAGGGTGGCTCAATGCTGGTTGAACTGAAACGCTTTCTGAACATCTTAAACCTGCAAAAGTTAAAAGAATGAAAGCCATTATAATGAATGACTGCAAAAACTAAAAATGTTAATTAAGATGAGCCTTTGCATTGACTGTTCTTCATCAAACTGGCTTCCTCCTCATGTTGCCATAATTTCCTTCCTTTGAATAACTGACGACAGACGGCTGAGCTCTCACAAAGCTGTCCTACATAACTACTGCTAGGCAACTGTTGTAAGGACACCATCGACTAGCTCCAACTGTGACCTTCTCACCTCTCTGATCTTGTTTGTTTTAGGTATACAGTATAAGCAATGCCTTTAATATTATCTTAAAAATCCTAGGTTAAAAGTACTGGCTACACTTTGCTTAAAAATGACATAAAACATGGTTTCTCTATCAAAAAATGCATGCAGTTTTCCAATTTGATCCAATATTGCTTTGTAAATTGTTATTTAATATGATGAAATATGTATTAACAACAAAACAGCTCCTGCGTTCTGTGCATGTCACTCCCAGACGTCAAACAAAACATCAGAACAGAATTTTGCCAAGTGTGGTTATTAGGGTGGTATTTGCTTGAAATCTGCATCGCTGCAGAAAACCCCCGAGCTTTGTCAATAAAAACAAAAACTCTTAAAAGCGGTTCATGGCATGGACCAAGGTGGACTAAAATGGCCAAATTTGGTTTTCAAATACCAACTACATATCGGGCCAGGACTGTCACATGATCTTTAGCAACTACACATGATTGCTAAGTAGACAAACTTACAATGAGTCCAGTTGAACCAGTTAGCCTAACCATGCCTCCAACACAGCCTCCAATACAGCTGCTTTGAGCAGGACAAAATGTTTCTCCAGGCCTTGGCAGTAAACATGATCCCAGGTCCGTAATTAATAACAGCATAACGACTATAGTGTGTTGTAACTACTGAACAGATTCAGTCCTGCACTTCACTGAATGCACTTTGCTCTGTTTAAGTGCATTGCAGGATGCTTAATGTACATCACACTGGATTTGTATGTAATCTCTATGACTGCTGTAGTAGCGTGAATATGGTGTTAACGAGTAGCAAACATCTGTGGAAATGTATCAAATGACATTCTTCAATAAATTTATTTGGATCACTTTATGTTCTTATGTAAAGATTATTATCCTCATCAATGTTTGCTTCAGCCATCCATCATCAGCATCATATTTTGACTCAAACACATGCGGCTGAACCTCTAGCAGCTGAAACTCTTACTGTCTGATCTTTGACGTACTCGAGTTCATCTGGGCTGTATTCCTCAGAGAAAACATCCCTCTCAGTGGATGAAGACACTTCAGAAACCTAAAAGTCACTCATCCAGCACAGTGGACTTCAGTGTTAATGAAAGTCAAAAGCTCACCATAAAACCTGCTTTGTATCGAACACAAATATTTACTACTATTGTTACCATCTAGTGTCAGTTCTTACAACCTCCCTGTGTCACCAATGATCCATCTGTTCACAATGTAACCAGAGCTTTTTTTTTAAACTTGTATTTTTCTGATATCTTGCATCACATATTCACAATTTTATATCCTGCCTTTTTATCAAAAATGTACAGTGATGGAGAAGGAACTGCAACCCTGGTTATTTGCTTAAAATTCAAACTCAGCAGACATCACCAAAACCTTCTCATGGACGGGGTCCAGAGGATTTCAGTTGTTAACCCAAAATGCAATGCAGTCACTTTACCTATTTGGGAAAATACACAAAAACATAGTGGACATGAAGTATATCTGAGTTTTGTACAAATAGTAGACAGTAGTAGGCTAATTTACAACTCCGTTTCCAAAATGTCCAAATAACAAGCAGCAAGGGTAATTTGATAAATCATTAAAACAATTAGTCGAGTGTTTTCTAGGTTGTTCTAAAAAAATATTATTAATTTGGTCATCCTTTACATGACTACAATAAACTTTTCTCTGATAACAAATACGCCTTCCATGTGCAATTGCATTCAATTAAATGCTGAACATGACATAAAAATGAAAATAAAAACAAAAAAACGTAATACGGTATTTATTATTAATATTAAATAATAATA